CTTTAATAAACAAAAATATCAAATTATGAAGTTGTAACATAGCCTCTGTTTAGATCTATACACTTCTGAAGGTGGTAGATACAGCTTTCTAACCCTTCCTCCCAAAATTCTGTGCTCTTCAATTTACACTGTGTTTTGGCATCCGTGAGGAACTCAAATTGTGTACCTTTGAAATGTTCTTTAAGTTTTGGGAACAAAAAGAAGTCCAATGGGGCAACATCAGGACTGTAGGGTGAGTGGGGTAAGGTTTCCCAATGAAATTCTTGTAGGGCAGCCCTTGCTACACTTGAAGAGTGAGTAGGTGCATTGTTGTGATGGAAAAATCCTTTGGCACAAATTTCCTGGCCTTTTTTCCTCACCAGTGTGGTTTTCAATTTTGTTAAAATTTCTGTATAGTAAGCTCCTGTGATTATCCTGTGTCCTTCAAAAAAATCTATCAAGATTACCCTTTCAAAATCCAAAAATAACTTGTTTTATATGGGGCAACGTTCTTATAAACTTGTTGCAAAGCTTCAGTGATTTGGGAATGTGTCCACTTGAGTTTTGTTTAAAAATTTGATGTTAGCCCTTACCTCCTCAAAGTAGTTTTATTCCATGGTACAAATCAGAATGTATCCTTTGTGTTGTTTTTTGAACAGCACCCTAACACCACTAAGGCAAGTATATTAATGAGAAAATTTACCTATAGCCATCCACAGGTTGCAGAAACATGTTTAAACATGTTTTGTTTTGAATAAACCCTTGCTTGTATGATCTGGAACCCTTCCTAGTAGCAATACTTCTTGATTCACCCTCATATGCCTGAAGAGTCCTTGTGTGGCGTTGTAGGATAAGTGCTGGACTTCTTGACACAAGGCTGGTGATTGAAACCTACCAGACACTTCTCAAAAACCCTGTGCAGAGTTGCTACAAACCAGAAACAACTTAACAGTACTTAACAAACAGCATGTACTTGAGAAACAGATGTGTCTTGTATATGGTTATCCATGGAACCTCTCCTTTCACTTTGCTTCTGCAACTTGGAATTTCTTCCTTTTATTCACACTAAGAGTGCTCCTGGCAGTCCTGATTGTATGGTGGTTATGTGCTCATCTGGTAGTCTGAAGACTATCAACTTGAACCCACCAGCTGCTCTATGGACAAAAGATGTGTCAATCTGTTTCTGTAAAAATTTACAATCTTGAAAACCTGATGGGTCAGTTCTCCTCTATCCTGTAGGGCTGCTGAGTTGCATTCAAGTTGCAACAGGTTAAGTGTGATTTGGAATATGTAAGTTGTAGATTCCCACACCTCTACTTTTGTTGTTGTTAAGTGCCATCAGATTGGCTGGTAGGTTTGAACCACTGGCCTTGGAATAGCTGTCCTGTGTTTATCCTACAGCACTACACCAGAACCCCGCTTTTAGTGTCCCTTTTCTCTTCGACTCCAGTACTTTGACTTGCTCCCTCGTTACCCCATAACTGGCCTGTCTCACAGTGTTTCTTTGGTGCTCTTCCAATTGTACCCCACATCTGTCATGTCTCCTTCAGGCAAAACTTGCCAAGAACACTTCGGTTCCTGTATCCCCTATTAGGAGCTTTTCAGAGATATGTGCCCAACTGGCAGGAGGGGCCCTTTGTGGATCTAGGCTCTACCCTCAGCAATCACTGTCTCCCTCCTGTCTGACCATCCACACACTTACTCCAGTCTGGCTGAACTACTTGCAGTTCCTGGAATAGTCCCTGCTATCTCCTGAATTTATGCTTTTAGAGTACTTTTTCTTCTTTGTTAGCCTGTTGTTATTGTTAAGTGCCATTGAGTCAGTTCCAACTCATAGAGACCCTGTATAAGGTTTCTGAAGAGTGGCAGCTGGTGCATTTGAACTGCCGACCTTGTGGTTCAGATGACCTTGCAGTCCATTGTTTATCCTACAGTTCCACACCAGGCTTTTTAAAAACTTGTCTCAAAAATTATTTTTCTTCTCCATCCCCCAAGATAAAGTCACCCAGTTTTTCATTTATGCCCACACTCAGAATACTTTTTGAGGGGGTGGGTAACAATAAGGAGTTAAGATTGGGACTATGGCTAGGTCTAGGCTAGGCCTAGGACTTTATTAGGGTTATGATTTAGGACTAGGATTAGTGTTAAGGATAAGGGGTGAACGAGGACTAGGAGTAAGGCTTGGTCTAGTTTTTAAGGATTATAGTTAGTTTTACTTTACATACTGGGGAGCTGTAGGGTCAGCACTGGACTGTGAACCACAAGGTTGGCAGTTCAGATCTACCAACTCCTCCTCAGAAACCCTGTATCAGGTCACTATAATTCAGAACCTAAAGGAGCTCTGGTAGCGTAGTGGTTACGAATCGGGCTGCGAACCGCAAGGTCAGCCGTTCAAAACTACCAGCTGTTTTGTGGGAGAAAGAGGAGGCTTTCTGCTCCCGTAAAGATTTACGGCCTTGGAAACCCTGTACAGGGTCACTATGAATCAGAACCGACTCCACGGCACATAACAACAACAATAATTCAGAACCTACTTGAGATCACTTAACAACAACATGACGTGGATCGAGTCTAGGTGATACTGTCTGTATATTCGTCTCAGGCTGCTGTCTGCTATTGTTGATTATCTGTCCAAAGAACTCCCTTTTGTATTTTTTTGTAAGGTTGGTCTGGGTTTTTAAAAAAATCTTTTAATTTCTGTTTGTCTGAAAATGGCCTAATTTTGCCATCATATTTAATGCACAGTTTTGCTGGATATGTGATGATTGGTTGACAATTTGCTTCTTTCAGAGTTCTATGTCATTCCAGTGTCTGGTTACCTGCATGGTTTCTGCTGAGAAATCAGAGTTTAGTCTTACTGGTTTCCTTTGTAGGTAACTTTTGTTTTTTTCTGAATTACTGTCAGGATTTTTTCTTTATCTTTGGTTTATAATATATTTTGGCATTTTTCCTTTGTATTCGATCCTATTTGGAGTTCGTTCAACTTCTTGAATGGATAGGGAAATTTGCTTCCAATAACTCTTGGACAGTATTCTCTATGTCCCCACCCCTTTCTGTTTTGTCATTCCTACCACAGTGTCACAGTTATTCCTCTTGACAGTGTCCCACACACATCCTAGTTTTTCTTCATATTTTTATGTTCATTTTTCTGATTGCTCCTTTAGTAGGTTGGTTATTGAGAGATTTTTTTTCTCCAAGCTCAGTAATTTGACTTGCAATTGATTTAATTATATTTCTTTGCCCTTTCAGCATATTGTTTATTTCTGAACTCTTACTGTTAATCTTCTGACTTTCTGATTGCTATTTTTGTATATTTCCCATTAAAAAAACATATTTTGTCAGTTTCTTAATTTTTCCATAGTCTTATCTGTTTTCCTTGATTTCATTTATAGTTTTCCCTTTCTCACAATTTGTTAAAATTGCCTAATGAGCCTTCTTTTAATTTCCTTGTCAGAAATGGTAGTTTTGATACCATTTCTGGTATTGTATTGTATGACTGTATTTTGGTCACTTGTTTGAGGTGCTCTCTCTTGCTTCTTTGTGTAAGCTGAAATTGTTTTGTCCAAGACGTTGTGATGTTCTTTTCTGTAGTTGATAGTTGTATATTGGTGTATTCTCGGCAGTAGCCACCTGTCTCCTGGTGAATGTGGTAGATATGGAAGTGTGAACGCAGTTAGCTCTCTGGTCACTGTTTGTGTCGTGTAGGTTCAGGGTGGGTTCATGTGTCTCCAGAAGCAGGGATGCTGTACCAGGCACAGCTACGCAGGAAGGACTGGCCATGCCTCTGTCTACCAGGAGGGCACAGGAGCAAGGGAGAACTGCACCCCCTTGCTGCCAACCTCCAGCTGTGTCCTGTACCCAAAGTCTGCTGTATCAACAGCTGCTGATAAAGCTCAAGATGACCAAGCTTTTCTATACCAGCCTGCAGTCCTCCTGATTTTCTTCTCTCGCACTGTTCCTGTTCAGGTCTTCATTCATCTAATCTACAAGCTGATGCTCAGCATCCAGGATCACCACCTGTATCTGTTTCACTCCACCTCCCATGTTTTTCTTGTAGAAGGTCAACTTAGTGTGTTTGCTTACTCTACAATCTTTCCCTGGACCTGTGATTTTTTTTGTAATAACACTTCAGCAGTTCATTTTATTTATTAATTTGCGTGATTGTGGCAACGGAATTTAAACAGCCCTCCAAAGTCTGAGGGTTTTTTCATTATTAATTATTTTTCTCAGTGGTTTTGTGGAAATCCCCAAACATTAGAATATGTCAAAACAGATTTCTTACTGTTGGTATGCAAATGGAGTTATTTCTATCTTCAAAGATCAATGTAATATATAAAACGGAAATACTCAGTGATTTTTACAGTGGACTTTTCCTTTTTTTCCCTCTGGAGGAAGGATTAAAGCCTAACCTGCCTCACAGATTGCTAGGGTGATGAATCCTTTATTTACATACAAAACTAAATGTGAGAAACAGGCTGTGATTTCCAACTATCAGCAGAACCCCAGACCAACTGAGAAAATCCTGCCTGTGAAAACATTCTGCTGGTGGGTGAAATATGCAGTTAAGCTGCTTGCATTTTCCATCTTCTACTTCAGCTGTGATTTGCTTTTAGCCTATTAATGATATTATAGTTTGCAGATTAAGAACAATAGATGCCCTACGGGAGATAGATGATTGTTCTTCAGTATTTGATTTCATGGTGATGATTGTGCAGGTACTTTCCTGTGTGGAAGGCGTCACACAGATGCAAGAAAGGTGCTGGGTGGGTCTGTTACACTGGTGGGGCGGGCAGTGCAAGAAAGATTGGGCACCCATGCCAAACCAGTATCTGTAGGTCACCTTTGGTATTTAAAACAAATCTTTTCTTTGTGAGCATGTCCGCAGATTTGGATTTGCGGTTGACGGCTAATTTGGTTGATTTGATGGCAAGAGGCAGTTTATTCTGTTGCACCTCTTTCATGTGGTTAGTATTTTTCTAGCGTATGTGTCAGTACAATTTCTTCTTATGCTCTTTATCTAGGCAGATTGAGTGTTGTGAAACAGCAGATGAATTCTACAGCACCATGGGGCGCCTTACCCAGGAAATGCTGGAGAATGATCTTCTGGAAAGCCACGAACTCATGCAGGTGAGTGGGCAGTATGGCCCAGTCTTGGCTCAGAGGACCCCAAGTACCAAGGGAATAATCACTGCTGGAAATGGGGTCTAGGGATATGTGTTTGGCCTCAGATTTAGTTTTTCAGTTGACCAAGGGGCTGTATAAGAGGACTTCAAACAGTTCATGGAAAAATGGAAGTAAAAGATGTTGGAAAATCTCCACAAACTTTTTGAAGCCCCCTTGTGTATATATAACTTGATAAGAACCTAGTTATGCTAAAAAAGGAAGAAATTAATAGTAGATATTTGTTGTGACTTTTATTCAAACTATGTTGCTTAGAAATCGCTAGATACAATATGAAAAAAGATTTTAAAAATAAAATTAGAAAAAAAAAACTCCAAACAAATCTGAGTCACAAGGTCCTTATTCTGAATCAGACTCTTAGTATTCTTATGGGAAGACTTTCATGGGGTAAAATAATACTTCTTATTTAAGGAGGAATTATTGGGGATAAAAGGGAGCTTATTCTAATTAGCAGTTCAGTTTATTTTACTTTGTTTTTCTCACATTTTAAACAGGCTATTCTACTTCATCATAATTCAATATGAAATATATGAGAAGGTTATTTAGTCTCTTGTGTTAACATACGTCAATAGCACACTCACTAACTCATTAAAATTGATAGGATAGCAAAACTGGAGTCCTGATGTGGCACTGTAGGTTAAGCTGTGCACTGCTAACTGTAAGGTCAGTGGTTTCAAACCCACCAGCCACTCCTTGGAAACCCTATACAGGGTTACCATGAGTCAGAACCAAATCAACAGCACTTAACAGTAATATACACATTGACAAAGAGGCAGTTGTTGAAACAGAACAAGGAGATGCAGAATGGTTGAAAACAGAACAAGGAGATGCAGAATGGTTGAAAATCAGGAAAGGTGTGCACCAGGGTTGTATCCATTCACTCTACTTATTCAGTCCGTATGTTGAACAGATAATCAGAGAAACTGGATTATATGAAGAAGAACCTGACATTAGGATTAGTGGAAGACTCATTAACAACTTGCAATATGCAGATGACACAACCTTGCTTGCTGAAAGTGAAGGGTACTTAAAATACTTACAGATGAAAATCTAAGGGTATAGCCTTCAGTGTAGCATGTACCTCAATTAAAGGAAACAAAAGTCCTCACAACTGGACCAGTAAATAACATCATGATAAACAGAAGAAAGATTCAAGTTATCAAAGACTTCATTTTATTTGGATCCATAATTAACACTCATGGAGACTGCAGTCAAGAAGTCAGATGAATCCAGAGTGCGTAGAGGAAGGTAGACTCTCCACTGAGTAGTATCCAATCTGTCTGGGCGGGACTGGTGAAAGGAGATGGGGATGGCACTCATGTGGCACAATAGTGAATAATTGTTATCAGAACTGACTGTGAGAGTTGGAAATGTAAAGGTAGACATTTTGTAGCAAAAGGAGGAGAGTGGTTGACTTTGTAGTCCAGGAGCGGAGTTCCCTGGGACCATCAAGGGAGAAGAGCAGAGTGCGGCACCCTATCCCGAGTAGCAGCAATGCCAGAGATGGAGCGACTAGGGACTCTAGACCCAGAGAGGGAGAGGGGCTGTATGCTGACGTTACACTTTGGTTGATTGGTGATGCATGGAGGGGATTGTGACCATGGCAATGAGACGATATACAATAGAATGAATGTAAAGCTAATGTTCTCCCATGTAAACGATCACATAATTCACAATAAAACATTAAAAAAAAAAAAAGTCAGCAAATCTGCTACCAAAGACCTCTCTAAAGTGTTCAAAAGCAAAGATACCAGCTTGAGGGCTAAGGTGCTCTTGACCCAAGCCAGGGTATTTTCAGTTATGTCTTATGCATGTATAAGTTGATTAACGAATAAGGAAGACGGTAGAAGAATTGATGCATTTGAGTTATGGTGTTGGAGAAGAATATTGAAAGTACCATTAACTGCTAGAAAAACAAACAAATCCACTTTGGTAGAAGTATAGTCAGTATTCTCCTTATAAGCTAGGATGGTGAGACTTTGTCTTTCATACTTTGGACATGTTGTCAGGAGGGATCACTCCCTGGAGAGAAGGACACCATGCTTGGTAAAGTGGAAGGCCAGCTAAAGTGAGGAAGACTCACAACAAAGTATGGATTGAGATAGCAGCAGCAACAATGGGCTCAGATATAACAACAATTGTGAGGATGACGCAGGACCAGGTACTGTTTAATTCTGCTGTGTGTAGAGTCTCTATGAATTGGAACTGACTAGACACCTAACAGCAACAACAATAACAACTTAGAAAGGATAGCAGATTGTTACCTCTCTCTCTTCCACTACATTCTACAGCATAATTTTATCATCCTTCTATGCCTCTGTTTCTCTTGGTTCTTCTCACTCACTGCACAAGTGGGTCTTGTCTAGGAGTCTGTCCTTGGGCTTCAGTTTCTTCTCTCTGTAACCAATTTCTCCTTTATCTGGGTTTTAATGCTTACTTTCATGTTGGGTTCCATGCCTGAGGTCATTTGGAGGCTGGGGCCCAGTCAACAGATTAAAAATCTAAGACTCAGACTCTGATTTAGGATTTGAGAAAGTGAGGAGCTACTATGCCTTTGATCATCTCCTGGCATGCCCCACTCCTTCCTAGAAACTCGTATTCTTAGCAGTTACTCAGTTTAATGAGAATATTGATCATTTTATATAACTTCTGTGAAAGTTACTTTTTAATCTCAACATTTCCTTCCTGTGCCTTTCAGAGGAAGAATTCTTCTGTCTGACCCAGACATCTGTGTTCCACTCCTTCAGTTCTTCCCTTTCCATTCATTATCTTCAGCCTACAAAGATAATCTAGTATCTTGGAAGGAAGTATTTTTATTGAGCATCATTTTGTGTGTCAGGTACATGCTTAGCATTCTCTGTGTATAAAATCCTTTATGTCCTACAGAATCTACCAGTTCCTACAACAAAGTAAGACTCTGAAATAGGATTCCTCACCTCCACTCATGAAATGTTAATAACTACTCATTACCTACAAAACAAGGCTTAAATTTCTCATTTTATCATCCAATGCTCATGACTACCTGGCCTTAACTTATCTTTTAGCTATATTCTTACTATTCCCTTTATACTCTCTTCTGTTGTTGTTAGGTACTGTCGAGTTGTACCTACTCCTGGTGACCTTGTGCACAACAGAATGGAAGACTGCCGGTCCTGTGCTAACTGCAAAATAGCTGCTACACTTGAGCCCACTGCTGCTGCCACTGTGCCAGTCCATTCCATTAGGGATGTTTTCTTTTTCACAGTCCCTCTACTAAACTGCAGACTGGTCCTTCCTGATAGTATGGCTGAAGTAAGAGAGATGAAGTCTGGCCATTCTGGCTGTACTTCTTCCAACACAGATTTGTTTGTTCTTTGGCAGTCCATGGTACTTTAAATATTCTTCTCCAACTCCATAACTCAAATGCATCAATTCTTCTACAGTCTACTTTATTCATTGTCCAACTTTCACATACCTATGAGGTTATTGACAATACCATGGCTTGGGTCAGTTGCACCTTAGTCTTCAAACTGACATCTTTGCTCTTGCGCATGTTGAAGAGGTCTTGTGCAGAAGACTCTTCAAGTCAAGCCAGAATGTATATTGGCTTATATATTGTAACAGATGTGTATAGCCTCAGAAATGCCTGAGACATTTATTCCTCCATACTTTTGTTCTCTCTGCTTCCTTCATTTTTTTTTTTATTGCCACATATTTAAAATCTGGACTCCTTTATAAAGTTTTATTTAAGATACCATATTTTTTATGAAACATTCTCTGATCATCTCAATTAAAGTCATTTATCCTGTTTTTGTGTCACCACAGCAATTTATTTATACCACTTGTGTGCATTTATCACTTTCTGTCTTGATTTAAGACTATATCTCATTTTCTCAGTTACATTGTTAAGTTTTTCCAGGTCAGGGACTGTGCTTTGCTTCGAATACTTGGCACCGTGCTTTTTACTGTTGTTTTTAAGTGCTGACAAGTCAGTTCTTATAGAGAGCCTGTATAGGGTTTCTGATGAGCAGCTCGTGGTTTGAAGTGTTGACCTTAAGGTTAGCAGTCCAGGGCTTATTCTACATTGCCACACCAGGCCAAGGTACACAATACAGTTTTGTTTTTAAATGTTTTATTGTGAATTATGTGATTGTTTACATGGGAGAACATAAGTTTTATATTCATCCTATCGTATATCGTTTCGTTGCCATGGTTACAATCCCCTC